TATGTGTATATATATCCTGTTTGTTGTGTTTCTCTGGAGGATCCTAACTTACGTAATGTTGTTCATCAAAAACAAATACTGGTAAAAAAAATACTGGTTACCAGCAAAAGCTTTCTTGCCTCTTCTGACTTTATTCAACATCAAAATTAACCCTCTCCAGTGGGAGGTCATTTTCTCTGCAAACCTTTTCTGAGCATGAGTTGCATAAGGTTCTGGAATGCTAAGAGGTCAAGGTCCAAAGGCCATTTGGATTTTTTGTGACCTCAGTAGTCAGAGCTGGTTGTTTATAAAATTGCAGAGACCTTGAAACAGCAAGGTACTAAATAAACCAGAGGTGGGTTTAGGTGTCAACGATTTGGCTTGGGCATGCTCTAGTGCTCATTTCTCAAACTAGGTTTTGATGGTGGTTAAACCATTTCATATTCATAGGTCCCACAGCTGTCTATCAGTTTAGTATTTTTGTTGTTAAACATAAAAGACACGAATAAATTTTCTTATTTCTCTTTTTATTGCCATAAGTTTTTCTCATTTAAAAAAATAAAAAAACAATACTATTTTCTTCTTTATAATTTTATAATTTTAATGATGATATCAGTATTTAATATTTATTAGGCACTCCTAGTGTAGGAAAAGAAATAAGAAATTACATGATCCTTGCTCTCAACATAATGATGAGAAACGTTCAAGAATTCCCTATTTAGAAAGTCATATTAGAAAATAAATTCTAGATCTGCCATTTAAATTATTTAACAACTCAAAACCAGGGAAAGAAAGCAGCTAAGAAAACTATTCTTCTTAAGAGTCATTATTAAATCTGTGTATATTTGGCTATGTTTGTTCCTTAATTTACGTAGAGTTCTGTAAAGGTAGAACTATAAATCTCAATGATTAGTCAAGTTACCAATAAACCATTCTGTTGGGTTTAATAAACATATTTCGAATATTTGTTACATGCCAGGCACCTGGAAATGCCGAGGTAAATAAAATGTGGTTTCTGATTTCTTTGGAGGAAGAAACAGACAGGAAAATGCCGTGAAAACAGTGGGCCTAAAAGAACACAGAAGACAGCCAAGAAAGCAGCATGGTTCTAAATCACAGTTTCACTTTTTGGGCGGGGTGTGGGTGAGTAATACTGGAGATTGGACATAAAGCTGTCACACTGAGCTACAACCCTAACCATTTTCTTATTTTTTATTTTGAGGTATGGTTTTACTAATTTGCCAAATTTCCCAAGCTAAGCTTGAAATTTGTGATCCTTCTACTTCAGCCTCCCAAAATTCTGGGGTTCTAGGCCAGCACCACCATGCCTGGATTCACTTTCACCTACAACGGACTCTATAGTTTAGGATAGATTAATCTCTCTATGCATCATTTTTTCATCTGTAAAATGAAAATAATCTGAGATCTTTCTATATTGAAACTTTTAATCTATGAACATGGTATATCATGTTGTTTACACATTATCTCCTGTTATTTATTTAGACTTAATTCTTAGAGGTGGACTAGCTAAATCAACTGACAATAGTCACTTTAAGGACTGTAATATGGTTCTGGGTGGGGGTAGCTCAGTGGTAGAGCACTCTCCTAACATGTGCAAAGCTCTGAGTTTTTTCTTCAGCACCACACACACACACACACACACACACACACACACACACAAAGCAATGACTATAATATATATTGCTAAATTTCACCATTGTCTGTGATCATCCCTTGCCCAGTCTTTTTTATTATTTTTATCCCCAGGTTGAAACTCACAGTCTTCCCTTTTCCAAATATGTCTTTTCCTTTTAGATTAGATGCTGACAAAGATTCTACAGATGAAAAAAGGCTGGTTTCTGGAACTCACCAAAAATGAAGACTGTCATTCCTCCACAGCAGAGGAAAGTACCACTTTGCTGGGCTTTTTGTCAAAAGCCTGAGAGCAGGAGATCTGCATGTAAAAAGTAGAGTGGAAAGAAAACATAGCACTGGGGGATTCTGGGCCAGGTCTGGAAGGTTGGGGCAGAGGAGAACACAGAAATATGCGGTCAGGACTGTCCACATCTTAAGGGCCTTCTTCCACATTTACTACCTGCAATGGAGGAAGTCATCCAATGCTCCTGTCCCAGTACTTTCCCTGATTCAGCAAAGAATTGGGACTGAATATGGGATCTCAAGCAGCCATGGATCTGTTACAGCAAAAGGAAAGAGCAGGTACCAAACAGAGGGGAGTTGCTGCAATCATAAAGTTGGGCAGTGAGGGACAGGGGAGGGTCTGAAACCATTAACCTGGAAAGGCTAGGTGCTGTGTAAGTGCAGAAATCTGCACCTAAAGCTATTTGCTTTTTTTGTTGGTAATTTTAAAATATAATATTAATTACACCATGAGAAAAAGCTATATGCACTTTAAATCTGGAAATTTGGTATTTAACAGTTTAAAGAGAAGCTATGAACATTTGTTATAATCTCCCAAAAATCTATGACTGATCACCACAATCATTTACTCAATTCATCCTTACAGTGAAAACCTTGAGCTTGCAGGTATTTAACTGGCTTGTAAAATTACTCCTAATCTTTCTTATTGTTGTTCTCATGTGATGCTTCACAAACAGAATTTTGAGACTTTTTTTTTTTTTTTTTTTTTTACAAAAACAAAATCTCATTAGTATTTAATTAACCTTACCCCTGGAAAGCTCTTCCTTAGGATTAAGTTAAATCCTTTATGCTTTAATTAACATTTATTTTCTTTAGTTCTACTTTCTGTGGAAAAGGAAATTTTCTAATCATATTCTTTCCTAAAAGAATTCTGCCAATCCACTGGAAAATAGAAAATGGCTGATCTGTTCTCCTTTTGTTCTTGGGTGGTGGGTGAGAAGTAGAAAGTAAGGGTTAAGCTCAGGGTCAGTTTTCAGCCATTCCCCTGTAACTGCCTTACCTCGGAGAACTTATTTC